AATTTTAGAATTAAACAAAAATTTCAGAATTAAATAGAGATTTAGAAACAAATCAAGATTTCATAAATAAATACAGATGTTACGTTAAGATTTCAGAATTACATTAAGATTTAGAATTAAATTAAGGTTTAGAAAAAAATTAAGATTTGGAAAGAAATAAAGATTTCAGAATCAAATCTTCGAAAAAAAAGAAACACCGAAAGAATTAGAATATCTTTGTTGCCTAAGAATGCTTAATTTTCAAATTGATTTTTCCGAGGAATGAAGCTCGGTACGACTTACTTTGAACCTTGGAATTTCTCTCGTTCCACTCGTGCCAGGATTCACGGATCAAGGTGTGTTCTCGTGTTAGAACGAGTGTTTGAAGAAGCGTCCGCGGGATGATTTGAAGTGGAAGCGATACGGAGATTCTGAGCAAAGATCGAGGACCGGAGGAAGAGAAGAGAGACGCAGTTGCACATGGTGCATCGCGACCTCGATTCGCGCTACTTGAAACCGTACGTGCGTGACCTACAGCAACTTGGCGAACCCTTCTGAGGCGGTACTCCTTAGAGAGAGAGATCATTCATCTTTTAACCCACTGTTCGAACAAGTGTACGATTCTTTGCCAGAGCGTTCCTCTTCGGTCGAGCCGCGTTAAGTAGCTGCATGCTCGACGCTGTCAAGGATGTTGTACTCTGTTTAATATGATTTTGCGCAAATTTTTCTTTGTATGAAAGATGAATGACAAAAAAGTATCGCTGTGAAGAAGATACTGATAAAAATTGAGTTGCTTAAAAATTACCAATCGTCCGTTCAATTGGATAATTTCAAATTGAATATTTAAATTTGAATGTTTGGAATTTGATTGGCTGACTCTCTGTATTTGAATTTTAATATTTGTGGTTGCATATTTGGAATGTGATTGGTTCAATTTGAATATTTGGAATGTGAATATTTTTGGAATGTGATTGGTTGGATTTGGATATTTTTGGAATGTGATTGGTTGGATTTGGATATTTTTGGAATGTGATTGGTTGGATTTGGATATTTGGAATTTAATTGGTTGGTTGAATTTCAATATTTTAAGTTTGATTGGTTCAATTTGAATATTTTTGGAATGTAATTGGTTGGATTTGAATATTTGGAATGTGATTGGTTGAATTTCAATATTTTTGGAATGTGATTGGTTGAATTTGAATGTTTGGAAATTCATTGGTTGAATTTGAATATTTGGAGTTGAATTTGAATATTTTAAATTTGATTGGTTGAATTTGAATATTTGGAATGTGATTGGTTGGATTTCAATATTTTACATGTCATCGATGGAATTTGGATATTTGAATATCAATATTTAAATTGGAATATTTCAAATTTGATTGGTTCAATTTCAATATTTTTGGAATATGATTGGTTGGATTTGGAGATTTTTGGAATTTGAATATTTGGAAATTCATTGGTTGAATTTGAATATTTAAAATTTGAATATTTGGAATGTGATTGGTTGGATTTGAATATTTTTGGAATGTGATTGGTTGGATTTGAATATTTTACATTTGATTCGTTGGTTGAATTTGAATATTTTAAATTTGATTGGTTCAATTTAAATATTTCAATTTGTATAGGAATGTGATTGGTTGGATTTGAATATTTTACATGTCATCGATGGAATTTGGATATTTGAATATCAATATTTAAATTGGAATATTTCGAATTTGATTGGTTCAATTTAAATATCTTGCGAATAGGTACGAAGGATAGAGAAACCCCATAACACCAGTGCAAGCATGTCACATAACGCCAGGCGTTACAAACACGGTAATTGTCATATCACTTTTATTGCGTAACCATGTTACAATATAAGCACGCTCTCGATGCATAAAGAATTCACAACGTTTCTGAGAAAATCCATTCTAAATACTCCCCTTTCTCTCCACCTTGGTTCACATCAGAGACGATAATTGGCATATCTACAATTTATACTTTATCTAAAAGAAAAAAAACTATGAGAGAATCTTCCTTCCCATGCTACAGAAAAATATACATTTCTCCAATTGCATAATTCTCTGTGTTGCATTCGTCTCTTCGTTATCCCCATTCGCTATTAAACGGAATACAATGGAACGAAAGGCTCGAGATCGCGTTACATCATCCTTCGACCAACGTATACATATTCCACAGAATTCATTATAGCGATATAATATTTCGACGGAATATTACAATTATCCCGTTACTCCTGGAGAACACGAACTCGAGGTAGTTGATTTCCCTACTCTCTCAATCCATATTACGCGGCTATTCACGCTCGTCTTCCCGAAGTAACAGAAGTTATTTGCATTCTCGTTTCAAGTGTCTGAGAGAAAAACGATTGTAGTTGCAAAAAGTGTAATTTTCTGTATTTGGAAGACAAAGTCTGGGAATTCCACTCGAAATATACTATTCTCCTCTTTCTATTGTTACATTTTTCTTGAAAAATGCATTTATAAATTTTAGGAAGGCAAAATTGTAGCTGTGATTAGTTAATTGTGTAATGATTGTATCCCTGAAAATTATTTAGGTGGATTCTTATTATCCTTCCATTTAAGAAATGTGATATTTCTTCCCTAAACTCAAGATTCTTCAATTTTTATTTTCACGATCCTTCAATTTTTATTTCCAGGATACTTTAATTTTTATTTCCAGGATTCCTTAATTTTCATTTCCAGAATTCTTCAATTTTCATTTCCAGGATTCCTTAATTTTCATTTCCAAAATTCTTCAATTTTCATTTCCAGGATTTTCTAATTTTCATTTCCAGGATTTCCCAATTTTCATTTCCAGAATTCTTTAATATTCATTTCCAGAATTCCTGAATTTTCATTTTCAGAATTCTTAAATTTTCATTTCCAGGATTCTTCAATTTTCATTTCCAGGATTTTCTAATTTTCATTTCCAGGATTTCTCAATTTTCATTTCCAGAATTCTTTAATATTCATTTCCAGAATTCCTGAATTTTCATTTTCGGAATTCTTAAATTTTCATTTCCAGGATTCTTCAATTTTCATTTCCAGGAATCTTCAATTTTCATTTCCAGGATTCTTCAATTCCACAATCCTCAATTTTTCCACACCGCTTCCATTTCTTCCTCTTATACTAAATTTGCTGCCTTCCCCAATCTCCAACACGCAGCGCAAAAATTCCAATTCCACCTTAATTCCAAACCACAATCATTTTCCCCTGAGCTCTCCAAATATCAATTTTCATTTCGACTAAAATTCCACCACGCGTCCCCTAAAACTTAACAACCGCCTGCTTCCTCAACAAGTATCGTCGTAACCATGCTCCAACCCAGGCACCACGTAATTAGGATCACAGACCGTATCTTTGACAGCCTCCCTAGCATTAGCCTTGAACACCCTGTAGTTAATCTTGCTGCTATCCGTGCTACCGTACAGATACATAGCCAACCTATTAGAAATCACCCAGACGTTCTGATCGTTCTCGTGGTCCACCTTGATGTCGTTAGGAAAGACCAACGACAAATTACTAGTCCCTACAACTCCGAGATTCTGCGGTATGTACTCTTTCCTGGTATCCCAACACCAGACCGAATCTCTGGTAGCCATATTGAAGAACATAACTCCGTTCTTATCGACCACGGATCCCGAAGAATGACCGTAATCCTTGGCTCTAGGTCTCCCAATCGGCATGAAGTAATCTGTATTCTCTTCAGCTGTCCGTTTGTCTCTCAGAATCGACGTGGAAACGGCGAATTCACGGAAACTGGACATCGGATGAAAGAAGAGAGTTCTGTCGTCGTGAACGTCCAAGGGACTTAGGGCAATTCCGAAGATTCCGTCTGTCCACTGAAATTTCAAACCGTGAAGCTCGTATTTAGAGGCTAAAGGGTCCGGATAGAAGAGATGGTGTTGGACTCTGAAGGAGGTGTCTTTGAAGAAATCGTAGACTAGTAGTCCGTAGCGAAATACATCGGAGGCGTATGCTACGGCCGAGTTGCAATCTTCGTGTCTGACGTCTACGACGATGTTGGAGTAGAGACTGTCTTCTTTCACTTGATCCTCGGGGATGGTGTACTTTCTTATTAGGGTGTTCGTGTTGAGATCGAAGATGAAGATTGCCGGGGGACAGGCGGTTTTGCCGCCTTTTACCACGTCGACTTTGCCTGAGTCGAGGACCCAGAGACGATCGCAGTCGTCCACTTGGACTCTGAATACGGAAGTAAGGCCGTCGCAGTTTCCTGGGGATGAAAATGTGGATTAGCGAGGGAAATTGTTTTCGGAGGAAGAAACGAAGAGAGAGAAAGATGAGTTTCGTTTTGCGCCTTTTAGTAGAAATGTAGCGAGCTCTGTGAAAGAGATTTTTTAAAAGTGGAGTTTCTGAAGAGATTCGGATATCCTCTCTATTTTTTTAACGACATATTGTAGTTTTTTATTAATTTGCTAATAGCAGACCATAAGAGGAACACGAAGACCTGTAAAACAAGATCAGTGAAGATCACAGAGGCAGGAAGGAAGAAATGAAAAGAAAAATTCGTTTCATCGTGGGTCTCTTAGTGTTTAGACTCGTTGGTATAGTCGGTGGAAGAAATATAGCGAGCTCGGAGAAAAGAATTCTTTTGTGGACGAAGTTTTTCAAGAGATATGAATTATTTGCTAATAGCAGCTTTTAAGAAGAGCACAAAGGCTTATAACACAAGGTCAGTCAAGGTCACAAAGACACACGTGCCTCGTTAAGTTCTGACGTCGTTAAAGTAACAATTGAGTCAGCAGTACCAGTGTAATTAATCTTCCATGACTCTGATTGACGTGTTACATGTCTTCATATTTATCCTATCAGCGAATAAATAAAAAAAATAGGTATGGCCTTTGTAAAAAAAAATCATTAGGACCATAGGATGGTCCCTTTCGTAGCAAACAACTTTCATTGGAAAAATTTTTCTCTTACTTTCGTAATTCAGGAGATATTCAAGATGACAATCGTTATTGGTCCTTGGCGAGGACTAGCGAGAAAGGTTAACGTTAGTCTGCCATCTAGCGGTAAAACGTAGAATCTACAGCGTTCGTACAAACTCGAGTGCTGTGCATGCAAAAAATTATGCTACTAACCTGGTTGATGCCAGCTCCAATCAGGATAAGGCCTAAGTTTAGGGCTCTTCGTCTTCGAGTTCTTTGGTACAGTGGCTAAAGTCGCTGGAACGCCGTCTTTCCATTTTGGCAGCGTAATGAAAACCTTATCTTTCCAAATCTCTAGACCAAGAGGTAAATTATTCTCTGCTACAAAATCACCGTTGAATATAGCTGAATCCCTGGCTTCTATACTGTCGTATGTGTAATCAATGGCGGACCATGCGTAAACCTGGTCAAATCACGATCCACGATATTTAAGTTATTAGAAAAATTGAAGTTTCGATTGTGTAACTTTTTGAAAAACTTACCAATTCCATAGCAGGTCCAACGTAGTCATCTTCGACGTGATCACGACCAGGATCGTAGTTGAATCCGTGGATTTCTAATTGGTTTATAGAATGAGGATCTGTTTGAAGTACGTTAAAGTTCCTCTCTGGTGATTTCGAGGGAAGCTTTCTTTCGAAGGATTGTGAAAAGTAGTCACTCGTGTCTGGGGTCGAGCCGTAGAGATGATTATTGTATTCTGGTGTCGTAGCTAATTTGTCTACTGCGTTCTCCTCGAGCTTAGGCGAGTTACAGTTTATGTGACCGGGAAGCTCGTCGTGGCCGGATATCAGGGTCTTGTAATTCCTTAAAGACTAAGATGTTTAAGTGTTCAACGAGATCGTTCTCACTACTGAAAATCACAGAAATTTTCAAAATCCTCGATAGTTTAGATATGGGACTATTCAGATATAGCATAATTTAGGAAAAATTAAAAGTGGAGAATCTCTGAGGTCGTTCTCACTACTGAAAGTCACAGAAATTTTTAGAATCCTCGATAGTCTAAATATGAGATTATTCGAATATAGCATAATTTAGGAAAATTTCAAACTTGAGAATTCTTCAGATCATTATCACTACTGAAAATCACAGAAATTTCTGAAATCCTCGACAGTCCATATGTGAGATTATTCAGACATAGCATAATTTAGGAAAAATTCAAAGTGGAGAATCTCTGAGATCATTCTCACTACTGAAAATCACAGAAATTTTCAAAATCCTCAATAGTCTAAATATAAGATTATTCAGATGTAGCATAATTTGGAAAAAATTCGAATTGGAGGATCTCTGTTCCTAATTAAAATAGCGAATTTTCTTCGGAGGATCTTACTTCTCTAACATTGAATTACGCGAACGAAAGTCGCAGAAATTTCCAAAATCCTCGACACCCCAAATTCGAGATTATCCAGACATATACTTTGGTCAAGATTCCAACTGGAGTATCTCCGTTCCTAAATAAAACTCCAAATTTCCCTCGACGGATCTCAATTCTCCAGCACTAAATTACATAAATAGGAAAGGATCGGTACCGAGCGAAAGCCCGAAGTCACGCTCCTCTGTCCGTTCGTTTCAAGATCGCGTGAAAGCGCAACTCTTCCAGGCTGGACCGCGATCCCCTGGAGGCCGAGAAGGCACATGGACAGCAACCACGGTACCACGTTCGCCATACCTGAAAAGAAAGGAGATTCCAATGCGTGTGCGGCAAACGACGACCTTCCTTTAACCGATTTCCCAACGAAGTTCACGTTGACCCGGTTGTCGAGATCGCGCGTAACCATTTCGCTTCGAGCGACGTCACATTTGATAATCGTTATGCAACAAGTATTGAATAATACTCTCGTAGGAAGCAACAGATCTTGATCTTTTAATTGGTAAGACTTGAGATCGACAGTCGATTATTCTCGCTTTATAACTGTGGCGGTCCTTACAGCGCGCACGGAGCCACATTGTTATACAACATAAACGAAATGTCACGCAACGGACGTGTCACTCGTCGGCGTGGATACCGATGGCAGCCAAAATCCCGACCGACGACGCGAAGGGCAGTCAACGGCGAAAAGTGACTCGAGCGACACGAGACATTTCGCCTGGCTTTTCTGAATAAAGGATTTCAAGCGCGACCACGCGTACATTTATTCTCCCGTCGCCCACATAACCATTCTAGAATGACGATCACTAATGTAAGAGAATTCGAAGGCGCCATCAAGACGGGCATCCGGGCGGCCGGCCCGGATGTCTACAGTAATAGGAGTAGGCGATATCGGGCCCGAGGACTATGACGCCACGAGCATCGGCAACCAACCCTCGAGGCCCTTGGTGACGCGCAATCGGCAACGGCGGAAAAAGGGGCTTTCCAGTCTTGGTTAGACAGTGAGTGTTGCCGCCCTAATGAGGTCTCAGAGTTCCGAGGCGGTGCCTATTACTCTATCAAGCATTAAGTATCTACGCACCAGCTAGACACAGCCCCGAGACGGGCGATGGAAAAATCCAGCCACGCCGCTGTGCGTTTTCAGCGGATGAGCCCTTTCGTTACGTTGCCAGTCAAACCGAGCAAATACCCCGACGTCGACTGCCACCGCATCTACGGGGAACTACGGGAAGGCGGACTCACCAGTACACGCAAGTACTGCGCTCTGACCCTGTTACAGGCGAAGGATCGTAAGGAAGGTAATGGTTAAGATGGACGAGGAGATGTTGGGGAGAAGGAGAGGAGAAGGTCCTTTTTTGGCACTCCTAAAGAGTAGCCGGTTCACGCAGCACACCCTCACGATTGCGCTCACCGGGATGCCTAAGCTCAGGGTGGTGAGGTCGCTAATTCCAGCGGAGAGAGGCATCCGCCCCTTGCCAGTGCCGCGTACCAAGCAGTCCGGTACCCCGTTCCGCAAGAAGGCCTTCCACCCCTTATTTTGGAACTTCGTTCAGGCCTGGCCGCAGCGTGCGTGCGTTCGAAGCTCAGGATGCCGGAGGTTCGCTAGACCCCAGGTGTTCGAAAACACCCCCCTACGGTAGTCTTGGTTAGACAACTAGTGTGGGTCGTCCTTAGAAGGACTCAGGGTGCCTCAGCTTATTCCCATATCAGACCAGGTTTCTACTTTCCATCGAAACCACCAACCGAAGAACAAGCCGGAGAATGAGCAAGGACGCCCGACCATGCTTGAACCCCAAACTTGGCGGTAAGGATTTTTGCTGTTGGACTTTTACAATTTCTAGACGTTAATAAGGATGGAACTAACGTCTGTGTGAAATTTCAGCCCGATAAAACCAGCAGCACGGCTTCCAAAGACGGATATGTGGAGCGGTCACCCATCTTCTTACGGAACGCCGCCTAGTGCATCTTGACTTCGGTGATCGAACGGGAACCAGTAGACATGCACGGCTACGGCCACTGGTACTGTCTTGGTTAGACAGTCGAACGGTGACGTTCTAAACAAGTCAATCCGCACGATAGCAAACAAAGTAATTTCTATCGAATACGCGTCAATTCTGTAAGAACGACCGCAGGAGGCCCTAGACAAGGAGCAGCGCAGGCTGCACCCCCACCCCACGGCTTGCAGGGCCCTAACGGCCGAAGAAGCGTATAAAAACGGGAAAAAGGGCAGCGGCCCACAGAATACAGTACATAGCCATCGACGAGCGAACCAACGTTGTTTTAATATCCGTCATTTTAAGCGCCTGTAATTCTTTACTCTTACAATTCATCGATTCTCCTTACATTAATATTGACAAAAAATGGGCAAATATAAAACTGTCTTTAAAACGATTCTACGAATCTACGAACGTTTATTATGAAAAATATAAATAAACAGATGAAATTGCTCTTCTAAATAGTTGAAAACGGTGCAACGTGACTTTCCTCGTCCGAACACTGCAGAGAATGTTTATCTGACATTTAACAAAGAGCACGCTGACAGCGTAGTCGTTCGATTCACGATAAAACAAGCATAACGGTGGTTTTTTAATTAAAATGGCTTCACGAAAGTCACCGACCGGAGAGAACGCCAGTTCGAACGTGCACCATGCTTGGGCGATATCGTGACAAGCTTCTACAATTATCGTTACTTTCCTATCGATACCGAGCCACGCCACCGTGCTCTTACTTGCTCGAGTTTATGGCTGGTACAGTGTCTCTTTGTAGCCGGATCCCGATCGGAACGTTTATTCGAAGCGAACAAACACTTCACCTTTCGTCTCGATATCTACTTGTCTTCGAAACTTTCCTCTGTTGTACAAATCGAAGAATCATTCTAGCGGAGATGGTAAATTAGGTGAAACGTTTAATTTTCGGTTATTGCAGGATTCTATTATTTCATTATTAGATTAGACGAATGGAGAAAGGTTCGTTGAACTCTAAACGGAGTTATTTCTAATATGTGCAAATTGATGAAAGTTAAATTAGGTGTTAATTGTGGGGTATTATACATGTACACGTATACAGAGGTTGCGTCACAGTTAAGAAGATAACCTGCAATTCAAGCGAGCACGTTCAGCCAGGAAGACGGTGAATTTCAAAGGAAAGCGTGCACTCTCGTATACGTCGGATGATTTTGCGGTTTAACCACTTTCAAGGTGACGATTGTCGTTCTGTGCGTGCACTTTCGCCTGAGAAAATCGTGAAAACCGATCTACTATACTTGTGCAATTCTCTTTCGAAAGATAACCTAGTGTGCCTGTAGAATTTTATCGAAAAAAACCTAGTATACAAGTACAATTCTTGCGAAAAACTATACGTATACTATTTTCTCAAAGAAAGCAACCTATTGTACACGTGCAATTTTCTCAAAAAACGACCTACTACGCTACAATTCTCCTAAAAAGCGACCTACTATACGTATACAATTTCCTGAAAAAGTGGCCTACTATACAATATTCTCTCAAAATGCTATTTACTATACCTATCCAATTCTCGCGAAAAGTGATCTACTATACCAGTGGATTTTCGTGAAAAGCGACCTACTATACATATGCAAATCTCGTGAAAAGCAACCTACTATACGTATACATACAATTCTCGCGACAAGTGGCTTACTCTACCTACAGAATTTTCGTGAAAAGTGACCTACTATACCCATGAAAATCTCGTGAAAAGTAACCTACTACCTATACCTATCCAATTGTCTCGAAAAGTAATCTATTTACTTATAGAATTTTCGTGAAAAACGATCTACTATACCTACAGAATTTTCGTGAAAAGCGACCTACTATGCACACGCAAATCTCGTGAAAAACGACCTGCTACCTATACCTATCTAATTCTCTCGAAAGGTGATCTACTATACCAGAGAATTTTCGTGAAAAGCTACCTACTATACACATGCAAATCTCGTGAAAAGTAACCTACTATGCATACACAATTCTTTCCAAAAGCAATCTACTATACCTATTCAATTCTCTCGAAAAGTAATCTATTTACTTATAGAATTTTCGTGAAAAACGATCTACTATACCTACAGAATTTTCGTGAAAAGCGACTTACTATGCACACGCAAATCTCGTCAAAAGTAACCTGCTACCTATACCTATCCAATTCTCTCGAAAAGTGATCTACTATACCAGAGAATTTTCGTGAAAAGCTACCTACTACACACATGCAAATCTCGTGAAAAGTAACCTACTATGCATACACAATTCTTTCCAAAAGCAATCTACTATACCTATTCAATTCTCTCGAAAAGTAATCTACTTACTTATAGAATTTTCGTGAAAAACGATCTACTATATCTATAGAATTTTGGTGAAAAGCGACTTACTATACATATGCAAATCTCTTGAAAAGCAACCTACTATACATATACACACAATTCTCGCGATAAGTGACTTACTCTGCCTACAGAATTTTCGTGAAAAGCGACCTACTATACCCATGAAAATCTCGTGAAAAACGACCTGCTACCTATACCTATCCAATTCTCTCGAAAGGTGATCTACTATACCAGAGAATTTTCGTGAAAAGCTACCTACTATACACACGCAAATCTCGTGAAAAGTAACCTACTATGCATACACAATTCTTTCCAAAGCAATCTACTATACCTATCCAATTCTCTCGAAAAGTAATCTACTTACTTATAGAATTTTCATGAAAAACGATCTACTATATCTATAGAATTTTGGTGAAAAGCGACTTACTATGCACACGCAAATCTCGTCAAAAGTAACCTGCTACTTATACCTATCCAATTCTCTCGAAAAGTGATCTACTATACCAGAGAATTTTCGTGAAAAGCTACCTACTATACACATGCAAATCTCGTGAAAAGTAACCTACAAGCCTACAAAAGCTTGGAATCACCGAGCATTGCAATTTGCATAAAAATTTGCAGAAAAAAGTCAGCGACTTTGAGAATTTTTTATCGTTCGAATCAATTGATAAATCTAGAATTGAGATAAACTTGAAATCTATAAAAAATTAGCAGCAGATTTAATATCGACGAAAAGTGGGAGGTGATTCGAAACATTTGGCCGGCAGCGTACCTATAGAATTTTCGTGAAAAGCGACCGTGTACAACCCACTATACCTACACAATTATCTCGAAAAGCAACCTACCATACTCGTCCAATTCTCCCTCTCTACCTCTAATTGAATCGACACGAACAGATAATCGAAACGGTAAATTACATCTCGGTATCACCTCCGGATAAACTCCTCCGATCCTTCGATCAGAATCGAGA